TGTTATGTTAAACTTATATTAAAGTTTTTCTTCATTACTCATTCAAGCCGTCTCCAGCCATTATTAGAATTATACTTCTGGATTACTGCCATATACTACGTACTGTAATGTTAAGTCAGGTAATGAGCAATAATGAAAACTAGGTTCAATGTTTCAGAAAGATACATATGGAAATATAAGGGGAAATAATAAAAATAAATAAGTAAGAAAGCATTTCTATTATTATTATATTATGCATATGATGATTTCCAATCTTCTGACTTAGTATTCTCAGCGTTACTGACTGGTCTTGCAGGAAAGTTCATTTACAGCTTAGCTACCTATCTTAAAGAACCGACTTTCCGCTGAGAGTCAGCCATAACACACTGTTTACTATATGTCTAAACTGTTTTATGTCTGTGTATGTTAAAAAAATAAGTCTATGCATATAATCGCAGTCTAACATGTTATATACTGTGGTTTATGTTAATACTGTAGTTCTAATCAAACACTTTTTTTTTTCATGTGTGGATCCAAAGTTAAGAACATTCAAATGCAAGTCCACCTTCTACATCAGACAATTGCGTGTAATATATACGTTAAATGCATATACTCGTCTGTTGGTGAGTGTAAATATAAATTAAAACATATTTTAGGGACCGAAGTACTATTTTAATTTATACCCAAATGCCTCTTTCACAGTGGCATATTTTCCGTGTTACCGCGTTTACCGGCGGTAAATCAGCCTTGGTAGAATAAAAAACACAACAAAAAATACAGCATAAAAATACTTGAATCTCATCCGTTACGAGAACAAATATATAATTACTGCAGTTTTGAAAAAGCAGTGAAATAAAATGTTATTTACACGAGATATGGTCATCGTTAACCGCAGTGACTGAGTACTGATTATATGTGTCGTCTATGGTGATTGGTGCAGCGAAGACAGTTCAGCCTATCAGCGTGCGTTAAACACCTTGAAAGTACATCGCTTATTATTGTGGTGCAATGTAGGGTAGTAATTGCCAGATGGCGCTAATTTGGTATTAATTGTTATGCTAAATGCTTATTTATTTTTAATTATGCACTTTTGATGATGATTTTGGATATTTTTATATGTTTTGATTAGTGTTATACAAGTATATATACCAAAGCCACCGGCCAGGATACGCCACTACTCTTTCATCCCATATGTAGTGTAAGCTGTCAAAAAATAACTGATTTGAAACTTAGCAACAGCGATCACTACAAGGAAAGTACATATATATACACACACACGTAAAAGTCACGAACATTCTTTTAAATATATTTTTCTGACTCTAAGTAACAGAATGTTAAAAAAATAAGTTTGCCAAGACCTTCCACTTTTAAAATATAAAATCAAGATATTCTAAATTGAACAGTTTACAATAAAATTGCAATTAAAACATTTGTTTATTTGTAGCTGTTAAGAGCAAAGCTACACATTATTTGTGCAGTGCCCACCGCGGACGTCGAAAGCCGAATTTTTAGCGTTACTGACACCCAGACTTACCACTTAGCAACAAGTGGGTTCAGTTAAAAGTATTAACATGAATTTTAATGCACATGAGATACGACCAACTTGAACAACGGTATTTCGTACTTTCAAAGGAAAGGCAATCAGTAACCGGCACTCGTCGCCAATAAGGCTTCTTTTAACCAAACAGCAGGACTGGTTGTTACAGTGTAAAATCCCCACAACTGAAAGCGCTAGGCGGGCTCAGCAGAACATTGTAGCTTGAACAAACAAAATTATGCTTAGATAAAAAAGAAAATAAAAAAAATTATAGTGTGCGTGAGTATAATCGCCCAATAGCTTACAGGTCCTATCGAATACTACAGATCTTTAATTTGTATTTTTTATTTACAGTAAAGTCACTAAGAATACCTTCCACAGTCCCTAATTTTGATCTACTGATCAGAGGGAAGACAGCCAGTCATCCGCACGTTACCACCCACTATTTACGATAAGGGATGTACTGTCTCTCTAATAACGCACGCAAAGTTCAAAGAACGGGGAATATTTTGATATCGGACAGATTCGAACCCGCTTCACCCTCCAGACCCTTAAATATGCACAATATGTTGATGCAGAAATGAAGTTAATAACAACAGAAAAACACAATAAAGCAAGGTAGCCTGTGCATTTTAACTGAAAAGTTAAGAGTTCCTTCGCATTTTAGACCAGTCATAATTTATCTCTTTCCTTTAAGCTTGGAATATACGAATAAATAAAAATGGTGGTACTTTGATGTTGGAGATGGTCGTCCTTTGGAATAACTTTTGACTTCCCAAAAGGGACAGTCGAGTTTTTTATTTGAAATGAAAAAAAGACAGTGTTGATTAATGTTTAAGATTGGCGCCCAAACCTTTCCTGTGACGTTTACATTTTACTTTAATTCATTAAATTTACTATATATATACACACATATGTTTTGAAACTGTGTTCACTAAAATATATGTATAGAGGTAAGCCTAAAATTTCCAGCTGTCAGATAGTGAACAAATCTTATATTTCTGGTAAACAAACGTTCCTCTTTTCAGGTTTAACGAACTCAGTCATTTAATTTGTTTGCTATTTTTATCTTAACTTCAACTTCCCCTCGTTAGACGGTTTGTTCACGAGACAATGCCACACACATTGTGCTAAACGCCAAACTGTTGATTTGACGTCTATTTTTCACAGGCTTCTTTGAAGGCCATTTGTGATAATATTCTTGTATCTTTCAATAGTAAAATACTGTAACAGCTATATAACGAGGTGGCACATATTGGTATAAAAACTTATTGTGAAATCTGTTACTATGTCAGTTTCATAAACTAAAATGGCTGTAAATTGTGTTGTTGTATTTATGGCAAAGATACTAAATATATCTGCTGCAGTTCCTAATTTTTAACTATTGACCAGAGGGAAGGTAACCAGTCAGCAGCACCCTACCACGTACCATCCAGGCTAAAGGATTAACTAAAACTCTTAAAATGCACCCACGGCATAAGGTGCGGAAAATATTACGTGGCATAGCGTAGATTCGAACTCCACTTGTCATTTCCGAAATTCAAAGCTCTGCCACGGAGCCAAACTGAACCCTTGTCGTTGGAAATAACCAGTTACACGCATATCAACTTACCTAATTCTTGACAACGCTTTATATTTCTTATTTTTCTTCTTTGTACTTCCATATAAAACCATAAGCACACTTATTACTTAAACAGTATGGATAAAGTACAACACCTCAATAACCACAGTCACACATATCAACTCGCTTAATTCTTGACAACGCTTTATATTTCTTATTTTTCTTCTTTGTACTTGCCATACAAAACCATAAGCACACTTATTACTTAAACAGTATGGATAAAGTACAACACCTCAATAACCACAGTCACAAATATCAACTCGCTTAATTCTTGACAACGCTTTA